GTCCAGGTGCCCACAGGGTTGCCCTGGTCGTCATTCTGCCAGGTCACCGGGCAAACTGAGACCAGATCAGTCAGCTCCTCCGCTGTAAGATCTGATCGAGCTTTCGCTGCGTGAACCATTTGTTGCACCAGCGAAAGCTTCTGAGCAGATGCAGATGACCCTCCGGGGGGCCCCGGAGCATGGGGCCCCACGGACGGAGGGTGATCACACACCGGCTCCGGTGGGGAAGGCAAGGGAGGCGGTGGTAATGAAGACACTGGGGGCAAAGCAGGGAGAGGGGGGGCTGTGGGTACAGGAGAGGGTCTTTCCAAAGCAACACGCTGGGTTGCATCGGTAGAAGGGGGGAGAGCTGCAACGGGGATGGCTATAGGAGCCGACGGGCGTGGCGAGATCACCAGCCTCGTGAGAGAGGGCCTATCCGAGGTGACACGCAGTATCGCGTCGCGACAGAGGTGCCAGGCATGTAAAGCCTGCACGGGCGCCCGAGGCTCTTCGTGCAATGTCTGGCCCAATCGCTCCCAGTCCGCTAGCTTAAGGCTTCCGGCTTCAGGGTACCACGGGCACTGGGCACGCACCTCCTGTAGCATTAGAGTAAGTGCTCGAGCGAGGCAGTCATGCTGAGCCTTACGCAGCAAATACTGCAGCTCATTGCGGTGTTGCACTTGCAAAGCAGAGAGGGAGCTTCCCATACTTACCACAATGAAAAATACTCACCGGGATCCACGAAGCGGATGAGTGACGTGCCTGAAACCCTTGCCGGGCGAAGTGAGTGCTGAGGGCCCCACGTTTGGGCGCCAGTTGTGGCAGTTCAATGATGAGACAGAACACAGCTTTATGCAAGCAAGCAGGCTGGTCAGCTGAGATGGGCTGTTCTGCCCCCCGCCTTCCACCTTCTCCTTTTATTATATTTCTCCCCCCAAGCATTACACACTGCTACCGCAAAAAGATACACAAAGGAATGTATGACGTTGATTAATATACTTATTTACCATCTTTTATCTACTACAATCCTGGTTCTCAGGCCTTGAGCCCAGGCTAAGAAAGCTTCCCACAGTCACTGTCCCAACAATCAAGTTCTCATGGTTCATATCAAGCCCTTGTCCTTGGATAGAGCAATGTGTGCATTGCTTCTACAAAACAGTCAGGGTGTGCCCTGCCTGCTTCCAGGTGGAATAACTAAACATGAACCCTTCACTATCACTTCAATAAATCAAACCAAAATGAATAAGCTGTGCTCCTATTACAATAAATCCCAGTTGCCCTATCCTATGCCAGGCAAATGGTATCAATCCTGCTAGAATGGGCCTGATTCTCTTCCCACTTACACCTGAATTGCACTGGGTGTCATGCCACTAAAGCTTTGGTAGTGATATACATCTGGTGTCGCTGAGAGGAGAATCAGACCCATAGCATAGCGAAGGACAGCAGAAAAAAGTTTGTTAAGAAGTTGCTGATGTTCAAGACTAGTAGTTAGAGGTCAAGAGTCAGTAAATAGCGATTTGGAGTAGGGTGGACAAGGGAAAAGAGCAGGCTGAAAGAGGAGAGAATCTATATTCTGCTAGATGCCAAAGGGCTCTTGCCTTAGGGAAGTGTGCAATACCTGGGGTAGGGTGTCAGAGTGATATCTGATGTTACTATTTACAGTGTACTCAGTGGGGATCTATGTGCTCCCTGGAAAAGCAACACTAACACCAATGTTATAAAGAGACATGTGGCACCATAATGAGGCCTTTAAAGTAGGTAGAGGGATAGAGCTGTACAAACCTAAAGAAAAGCCGCCTCTGGAGGGCCTCTGGCCAGGTCAGATGGGAACAGGAATGGGAAAGGGATGGGGAGCTCATTTCCATGAGGTCCCTGCCCTCTTCAGCAGCTCTGCATGTCCTGCCTGTACAGCAGTTGTGAAGCTAATCTGTGCCTCCTTTCAGATCAGCTTGACCATCCCGGTGTGCGGTCTCCATACAGGTGTATAAAGGGATAATGCTCCTCTCTGCAACCTGTGTGTAACAGAGTTAGTTTTTGGCATAGATCAGTTGATTAAGAAGGGGCCATTTTTCTAGCATGGTTTTTCTGGCCATATTGGCCCCTAAGGTTATGTTGTTCCCGTCATAGATAAAAGTTTCCTCAGTATCTATGTCCATCTTCACTCTTGCCCTCTCTTGAGCTGGGAGAATTAAACAACAATTGAAATCACTTACATGAAGCTGTACCAATCCATACTGAATAGAAGTACAGGGAAAAGTTGGAGGAATTCAATCCGTCATGTAGGATTATGACTAGGACAGTTTCGTATACACAAGGCACAGCAAAAATGCATACAATTTTAAAGGAGACTTGAAAGTATGTGTTGAAAAATGAGACAAAGTTATGTGCTGAAAGCCCCAAAAAGAGCAAGAGGCAGAGACACCTGTCAAAGGCATTCACATTACTACATATATAACTTGGGCCACAGTTCTCCAACTTCAGTGCCTAAAGTTAAGCCTTTAAATCCATATTTCATTTTCAGAGGAGCTGAGCACCCATAGCCACCCTTGTAAAGTGCTCAAATACCATGGTGAAGGGCATGATATTAAAAACAGAGACAGCTAGATGCCTAAGGATGGGTTGGGGGGAATTCCTGGTCCCACTAAAGTCAATGGCAAGATTCCCATTGACTTCAGTGGAGCAGGATTTCACCGTAAGTACCTATCTTTAGATACCCATGTTTGAAAAGTTTGGCCTAAGCTTACACTCAGTTATATATCTGAATGCCAATAAGAGACACCTCTGCCTCTTGGTCTTTTGGGCATTCAACGTATATCCAGCTTTCCCGGCCCTCAAGGGTATGTCTACACTGCAGCTAGGAGCGAGCCCTGCCAGCCCAGGAAGACAGCTCACATTAGCAGGGATCGAGCTAGTGAGTGAAAACCAGCAGTGTGGACATTGTGGCTCTGGCAGAGATTCAAGGTAGCCACTTGCACTCAGACCCAGAGGATCATCTGGCCTTGACAGCTCAAGCTGCAATGTCCACTCCGCTATTTTTAGCATCCTACCTCAAGCCAAGGTGGCTCAACACTCTGTATACTCAGGCTGGGAGGCTCGTCCTAGCTGCAGTATAGACATAGCCCAAAGCTCTGAAGGACAACAGATATGATCCCAGATGCAAATCAGGCCTTTCTTTTGGCAAAGGCATAATGTGATTTAAAAACCTGTAGGCAAAATGTGATTTAAACCCCCTCTAGATCTTTTGGCACCCCTTGTGGACGGTGGTTGAAACTTTAGTTCCATGTGCCAAAACAGTGTCTTCAGGCCGCTTGGCAAAAAACCTTTTGGAAGCAAGCAGCACATGGTAGGTTTTATAGAAAAGCCTGATCTTAGGAGGACTCAATATGATCAATATATACAAATGAGACCCTTTTGATTAATTCCTTTGTGAGCAACAGGCAGACTTGACATTTACTAGGATAAAAGATTAATATTTCAGCCCTTTGATTCTAACTGAGCAATTTCTTCAAAGGCCTGGAAACACACACACACATTTACCTGTATCTAAAATTCTTTTGCTGATATTGTTTGCGCACCTGGCTCCTCATATCTAGAGTGTGTGCTAAAGACAGATTGATACAGCGACTTGAGTGTGTTTATCTAAAGTCTGTTCAGTAGAAAATAACAGTTCTGTCTCAGTATGAAAGAAATTTCATTGGCCCACAAAAATATTTTGAAAATTATCTTGCTTTTATCATGAACCAGACTGGGATGGGAGAGATTGAGGCTTCTGCCCTGCAGCAGGGTGGTGGGGCTAGGGGCTTCTGCTGGAGATGACTGGTATCTGATGGGGGGGGAGGGGGAAGACAATTTAAAGGTTCACCTCCCCAACAACTTGAGTCACACCCCCTCGGTGGTAATTCCACATGGAGAGACAGCAGCAAACTGCTGGGAGTTGCAGGGAGGGGCCTCTGCTTTAGCTTCCTCCAGAGAGAGCGCAGCAAAAGCAACAGCTTGCCCTGCAGCTCCCAGCTGTTTGCCGCTGCCTCTCCCCAAGCCCCCAGCTCCCAGTTTGTCAGCTCCAGCTGCTGCGGTGCAGGGAGGGGGCCCGGCTACACCATGTGACCAAAAGGGGCCAGCAAAAATTGGGGGGATGTGACCACATATGCCTGCCCACGTCACCTCTGGGGGAGGGGGGTCTCAGGGCTTCAGCCCCGCAGGGTATGCCTGCTGGGGCTCGGGATTAAGGCCCTGAAAACCCCTCCCCACAGGGCTGGGGTCTCAAGCCCTGGCAAGTGCCTCCCAGCCCTCGAATTTCTGAAGTGTGGTATGTGGCTCAGAGGGTCAGTAAGTTTGGCCACCCCTGATAGAATAGGTCAGTGTTAGATATGACTTTTTACCCCAGGGCCTTTCGGGAACAGGGATGGAGTCCTGGAACATAAAGCCCCAGAACCCACAGTGTTCAATAACAACATGCAGTTCAATAACATTTCTATTGCTGCTTCCATCCTAGGATCTCAAAGCATTTTAGAAACATTAATTAGCAGAACCTCACACAATAGGTGTGGCAGGGAAGGCTCATCCCTATTTTACAGACGGGGAAACTGAGGCACAGAGCAACTAAGATGCATATTTTTTAGACTTGGCACCTTGATTGCTTGTACTTCGGGGCCTCGTTGGAGACGCCTGGGGCGTGATTTTCAGAGCTGCTCAGGGCCCACAACTCCCCCCCGGGAACTGCTGCATGCTCAGCGCTTTCTTTAGAACAGCGACGCTGCTTGTTCATTCGCCAAGACAGGGATTTAGGAGGAGACCGTTTTTTAAAAGACCCTGGTTACCCTACTCCAGAAATCAAGACAAAGCCCGCGCAGGACAGAACAAGGAGCTTGTCCAGCATACCACGCGGAGAGAGAGGGGGGACAGCCGCCTCAGCCCTTCCCCGCTGACACCCCAGGCGCTGCTCACGGGGCCCGCACCACACCTGCAGAGACAGCGAGCGGACGCCCTGCTTTGGGGGAAACTCCCGCGGAGGCGCTGGGCCGGGCAAAGAGCGGGGAGGCCGCAGGCAGGGTCTGGGGCGGGCAGCACCAGCGACTCGTGCTGCAAGGAGAGAGATGCCCCCAGCCTCTGCGCCTTTCCGGGGCTGGGAAACACAAGCAGCGGCTCTGTTTACAGCCCAGACGACCACCTCTGCGAGGGCCACCCGCTGCCGGCAGACGGGGCGTGGCCAGAGCCTGCTAAAGGGGCTCCGCTGGGGCAAGGCCCGGGGGCGTGCTCCAGTCCACAGAGAATCGCAGAGCAGGAGTTATGGCGACCCACGTGCAACTGAGCCCTAAGGCCAAGATGCCCATCCTGGGGCTAGGCACCTGGCAGGTAATTGCAAAGGCTCCAGGGTCCGGCACGCCGGTGCAGTGCAGCTGCTCTCTGCCTCCGGAGGCGCTCGGCTCTTTGCGCTGGCTTCTCCCTTCGCAAACGCGGCCAAAGTTTCCAGCTGTGTCTGTGCAAAAGGCAGGAGTTTCTTTCCCTCGGGCTGCCCGCGATGCCGGAGGCAGCGGCACAGGCCCGATAGTTACCCTTCGGCAAGCTGTTTTTGTTTACGTTGCTAGCAAGATGTGGCTGTCATTGTGAAGTCCAGTTTCCTGGTAGGTGTTTGGTTTTATCGCGCTCAATACCTGGCCCCTATATGGATTTAGGGTCCGAGCAGCGTTTCAGCTGCTTTTCTAACCATGTCGATAAAAGGCTAACGAGCAGCAGTTGTAGGAACTGGGCTTTGTTCTAGGTGCTTGGATTCTGCAGCTACTTAGCGAGCATAAATTGTTGTTTTAAGAGTTACTGGTGCTGACTAAAATGTGGCCAGCAGTGAGACAACACTTGTGCATGAAAGACTCCTTTTAAAAATTCAGGTTTCCAAAGGTTCCTTGGCTCCCTGGTAGCAAATTTCGTGATGTATTTTACTTAAATGCAAACAACGTTGATTATAATGGTCCTTTCTGGCCTTAGATTCTATGAAGGCATGAAAACTGGTATTTGTGGTATTTCTTTCTTGATCTTTAGATACCCAAGTGCAGAATGTAGGTCAACTTCTGATTTCAGTCACACCAGTTTAAATCCATAATAGCTCTGTTGGCATTGATGGAGTCATTCTGAATTTACAGTGGTATAATTGAGAAAAGAATCCCATCCTTTCTGTGTAAATGGAACCCTTCCTCCTTTTTAATTCCGTTTTTTTTCTTTCAGTCCAGGGTTTATGATGTCACTTGCTTCCATGGTGACAAATTGGGACTGCAATTACAAGAATCACTCTTACCAGGGGAGTGTGTTTATGTACAAAAATATATTAAAACAACATTAAAGCTGGCAATGTGATTACACAGAGAACAACAAAGATCACCCTGTGTGTGCATTGTTTTAGAACAGTTTTATGCACAGTAAAAAAGAGCTCATAGTTATAGGAAAATACTTGCGGTTTCTACCTATTGTATTGTATTGATGGCCAGTATTCTGCACTGCTCAGTGTTGTGTGTTGGTGTGATAAAGCCCCTCTTCAGATGTACACTAATGCAGAGACAAAGTTAACATTGCTGTAGGAACATTCAGAGTTTTTGAGAATTCTGTCATCTCTGCCCAGCATCTGTTACTTTTAGCTTCATAACTTACCAACATATAGAGCAGAGGTTCTCAAGCTGTGTGCTGTAGATAACTGGCCAGTCACATATAGTCCTTGTTCCACCTGCTGAATCATGCTAAAAGAAGTTTATAAAATATACAGACTTTCCTAGTGTTCACCTTCTACTTGAGCAAGTGCTGTTTACCACAGGGTGATTATGAAGTAGCCAGTGGGAAAGGATATTGATCCATATAAAGAAAAGGAGTACTTGTGGCACCTTAGAGACTAACCAATTTATCTGAGCATAAGCTTTCATGAGCTACAGCTTGAGCTGTAGCTCACGAAAGCTTATGCTCAGATAAATTGGTTAGTCTCTAAGGTGCCACAAGTACTCCTTTTCTTTTTGCGAATACAGACTAACACGGCTGTTACTCTGAAACCTACCATTGATCCATATGATTGTGAAGCTTGTGAAGAGAGGGGAGTGTTCCCAAGAGAATCTCTGTATTAAAATGTGGTCTGTGCTATGAAGAAGCTTGAAAATACATGTCTTTGAGATTATAAAAAGAGCAATGGCATAGGTATATTGTGGCAACAATAAATAAATAACTGCCATTCTTTCTGTGAACAATACAGAATAGATAACCTATACCATCTAGTTAACTTCATCAAATAACAGTGTTTTCTTTGTAAGAAATCCATGCCAGCAAGAAACTGAATTCAGAGTAACAGCCGTAGAGAGTACAGAGTAACTAACGTCTGTACTCGCAAAAAGAAAAGGAGTATTTGTGGTACCTTAGAGACTAACCAATTTATTTGAGCATAAGCTTTCGTGAGCAACAGCTCACTTCATCGGATGCATACTGTGGAAAGTATAGAAGATCTTTTTATACACACAAAGCATGAAAAAATGGGTGTTTACCACTACAAAAGGTTTTCTCTCCCCGCACCCCACTCTCCTGCTGGTAATAGCTTATCTAAAGTGATCACTCTCCTTACAATGTGTATGATAATCAAGGTGGGCCATTTCCAGCACAAATCCAGGGTGTAACAAGAACGTCTGGGGGTGGGGGGTAGGAAAAAACAAGGGGAAATAGGTTACCTTGTATAATGACTTAGCCACTCCCAGTCTCTATTCAAGCCTAAGTTAATTGTATCCAATTTGCAAATGAATTCCAATTCAGCAGTCTCTCGCTGGAGTCTGGTTTTGAAGGTTTTTTTGTTGTAATATTGCAACTTTCATGTCTGTAATCGCGTGACCAGAGAGGTTGAAGTATTCTCTGACTGGTTTATGAATGTTATAATTCTTGACATCTGATTTGTGTCCATTTATTCTTTTACGTAGAGACTGTCCAGTTTGACCAATGTACATGGCAGAGGGGCATTGCTGGCACAGGATGGCATATATCACATTGATGGATGTGCAGGTGAACGAGCCTCTGATAGTGTGGCTGATGTTATTAGGCTCTGTGATGGTGTCCCCTGAATAGATATGTGGGCACAGTTGGCAACGGGCTTTGTTGCAAGGATAGGTTCCTGGGTTAGTGGTTCTGTTTTGTGGTATGTGGTTGCTGGTGAGTATTTGCTTCAGGTTGGGGGGCTGTCTGTAGGCAAGGACTGGCCTGTCTCCCAAGATTTGTGAGAGTGTTGGGTCATCCTTCAGGATATGTTGTAGATCCTTAATAATGCGTTGGAGGGGTTTTAGTTGGGGGCTGAAGGTGACGGCTAGTGGCGTTCTGTTATTTTCTTTGTTAGGCCTGTCCTGTAGTAGGTGACTTCTGGGAACTCTTCTGGCTCTATCAATCTGTTTCTTCACTTCCGCAGGTGGGTATTGTAGTTGTAAGAATGCTTGATAGAGATCTTGTAGGTATTTGTCTCTGTCTGAGGGGTTGGAGCAAATGCGGTTGTCTACAGCCATGCTCTGCGATACAATAGATCGTGTGGTGTGATCAGGGTGAAAGCTGGAGGCATATAGGTAGGAATAGCAGTCAGCAGGTTTCCGGTAAAGGGTGGTGTTTATGTTTCCATCGTTTATTAGCACTGTAGTGTCCAGGAAGTGGATCTCTTGTGTGGACTGGACCAGGCTGAGGTTGATGGTGGGATGGAAATTGTTGAAATCATGGTGGAATTCCTCAAGGGCTTCTTTTCCATGGGTCCAGATGATGACGATGTCATCAATATAGCGCAAGTAGAGTAGGGGAGTTAGGGGACAAGAGCTGAGGAAGTGTTGTTCTAAGTCAGCCATAAAAATGCTGGCATACTGTGGGGCCATGCGGGTACCCATAGCAGTGCCGCTGATTTGAAGGTATATATTGTCCCTAAATGTAAAATAGTTATGGGTAAGGATAAAGTCAGAAAGTTCAGCCACCAGGTTAGCCGTGACATTATCGGGGATAGTGTTCTTGACGGCTTGTAGTCCATCTTTGTGTGGAATGTTAGTGTAGAGGGCTTCTGCATCCATAGTTGCCAGGATGGTGTTATCAGGAAGATCACCGATGGATTGTAGTTTCCTCAGGAAGTCAGTAGTGTCTCGAAGGTAGTTGGGAGTGCTGGTAGCGTAGGGCCTGAGGAGGGAGTCTACATAGCCAGACAATCCTGCTGTCAGGGTGCCAATGCCTGAGATGATGGGGCACCCAGGATTTCCAGGTTTATGGATCTTGGGTAGTAGATAGAATATCCCAGGTCGGGGTTCCAGGGGTGTGTCTGTGCAGATTTGATCTTGTGCTTTTTCAGGGAGTTTCTTGAGCAAATGCTGTAGTTTCTTTTGGTAACTCTCAGTGGGATCAGAGGGTAATGGCTTGTAGAAAGTGGTGTTGGAGAGCTGCCGAGCAGCCTCTGGTTCATATTCCGACCTATTCATGACGACAACAGCACCTCCTTTGTCAGCCTTTTTTATTATGATGTCAGAGTTGTTTCTGAGGCTGTGGATGGCATTGTGTTCCGTACGGCTGAGGTTGTGGGGTAAGTGATGCTGCTTTTCCACAATTTCAGCCCGTGCACGTCGGCGGAAGCACTCTATGTAGAAGTCCAGTCTGCTGTCTCGACCTTCAGGAGGTGTCCACCTAGAATCCTTCTTTTTGTAGTGTTGGTAGGGAGGTCTCTGTGGATTAGTATGTTGTTCAGAGGTATTTTGGAAATATTCCTTGAGTTGGAGACATCGAAAATAGGATTCTAGGTCACCACAGAACTGTATCATGTTCGTGGGGGTGAAGGGGCAGAAGGAGAGGCCCCGAGGTAGGACAGCTGCTTCTGCTGGGCTAAGAGTATAGTTGGATAGGTTAACAATATTATTGGGTGGGTTGAGGGAACCATTGCTGTGGCCCCTTGTGGCATGTAGTAGTTTAGAAGGTTTAGTGTCCTTTTTCTTTTGTAGAGAAGCCAAGTGTGTGTTGTAAATGGCTTGTCTAGTTTTAGTAAAGTCCAGCCACGAGGAAGTTTGTGGAAGGTTGGTTTTTTATGAGAGTATCCATTTTTGAGAGCTCATTCTTTCCCTGTTTGCTGTAGAGGATGTTGATCAGGTGGTTCTGCAGTTTCTTTGAGAGCGTGTGGCACAAGCTGTCAGCATAGTCTGAACAGGAGAGTGGATTTGTGGGGGGGGAGGAAAACCTGGATTTGTGCTGGAAATGGCCCAACTTGATTATCATACACATTGTAAGGAGAGTGATCACTTTAGATAAGCTATTACCAGCAGGAGAGTGGGGTGCGGGGAGAGAGAACCTTTTGTAGTGGTAAACACCCATTTTTTCATGCTTTGTGTGTATAAAAAGATCTTCTATACTTTCCACAGTATGCATCCGATGAAGTGAGCTGTTGCTCACGAAAGCTTATGCTCATATAAATTGGTTAGTCTCTAAGGTGCCACAAGTACTCCTTTTCTTTTTGAGAAACTGAATGAATCTCTGCAGGTCAAAGAGGTAAGAGTTATTGACTGAGCTAAAGGAGAACCTGTTTCTTCTGCGTTTGATCCTGAAATGTGTAGAATGCTTGCCACTTCTGTTGATTTCAGATTTGACTAGACAAAATTTGAAGTGAGGACAGATGGGGAAAAAAAAATCTTTCTACCTTCTCATCAATTCCAAGGGCAGTCTTTGTACACTCACAGTAAAGAAATTTATTTGAGCATGAGCTTTCGTGAGCTACAGCTCACTTCATCGGATGCATACCGTGGAAACTGCAGCAGACTTTATATACACACAGAGATCATGAAACAATACCTCCTCCCACCCCACTGTCCTGCTGGTAATAGCCCATCCAAAGTGACAACTCTCTACACAATGTGCATGATAATCAAGGTGGGCCATTTCCTGCACAAATCCAGGTTCCCTCACCCCCCTCCAAAAAACACACACACACAAACTCACTATCCTGCTGGTAATAGCTCATCCAAAGTGACCACTCTCCCTACAATGTGCATGATAATCAAGGTGGGCCATTTCCAGCACAAATCCAGGTTTTCTCACCCCCCCCACCCCCATACACACACAAACTCACTGTCCTGCTGGTAATAGCTCATCCAAAGTGACCACTCTCCCTACAGTGTGCATGATAATCAAGGTGGGCCATGTCCAGCACAAATCCAGGCTTTCTCACTCCCGCCCTTTTTTTGTTTGTTTTTTTTTTTCCCGGGGGACACACACAAACTCACTCTCCTGCTGGCAATAGCTCATCCAAACTGACCACTCTCCAAGTTTAACCAGAACGTCGGGGGGGGAGGTAGGAAAAAACAAGGGGAAATAGGCTACCTTGCATAATGACTTAGCCACTCATGCTCAAATAAATTGGTTAGTCTGTAAGGTGCCACAAGTACTCCTTTTCTTTTTGCGAATACAGACTAACACGGCTGTTACTCTGAAACAGTAAAGAAAGTACAGCATTGAATAGTCTTATCCTATGTATCATTTATCTGGCCCTGAGCATATACTATATGAAGTTACACAATGAGGGAGCAAATAACCAAAGAGGCCCAGCAGCATTTGGATTTGAAGGTTTCAAAGCCATCTAGGGAATTCAGCCACACAGCGCCCATTAACCCCTATGCAACTAATAAAAATATCAACATTTTGCATCCCAAAGAGAGAGCTGTTAGACAAGTCCTCCCCCAACCACCTTTACTCCCAGGACTCCAGGAACATGTGCATGGACTGTGGGGAATGGGGAATAGTATTTTTTGCAAGATTCCATCTTGCAAGCAGGACTGGTGCTAGACACAGTACTATCTTAGGCTTCTGCTACCTGGTAGTGCATGTGGGGAGAGGGTTTTGGGGGTACTTAAAGGAGCATCCTCGCCCCAAAAAGCAGTCCCAACTGATAGGGCGGGTGGCTGATCTGGGCTAGGCTTGCAGTAGCAAAGGGATGTCCCCATAAAGCTATCCTGGTTGGGGGGTGGGTGGGTGTGTGTGTGTGGTCGGAGGAGGTAGAGGGAAGGGCAGGTAGGCAAGAGCTACCCCCATAAATCCTATGGTGATTGTTTAGCCTACACATAATGCTGGATATAGTTCCACAGCCAGGAATCCAACACTGTTTTCAAACTAGAAATTGACCCTTCCAGGTGGGGTTCTCTGAATCACTCTTGCTTTGTGTTTCACACACTCCTTAGGGTTTTGTTGTATGGGACGGAATCCAGAGTAGTTTTATGCTCCATATAAATAGAGATCACAGGATAAATTCCCAGGTACAGAAGCACATTCAAAATGGTGATTAATCTGATCTAGTTTGCATACCATTGGATTAGCACACCCACTCTGTGGTCAGTTTGAGCCACTCTCCTATCTGGAAATGTTGGTGTTTTACAGGTGTTCATTTTGTTTTCAGGCTCCTCCAGGGAAAGTGGAAGAAGTGGTGAAGTTTGCCATCGACATTGGATACCGCCACTTCGACTGTGCCTCTTTGTACAAGAATGAGAGTGAAATAGGGGATGGGATCCAGCAGAAAATCAAGGACGGGGTTGTGAAACGGGAAGATCTTTTTGTTGTCAATAAGGTACAACTGGCTACAGGAATTGTATCATGGGGTCATAGGGCAAATAATTTAGTTACATGGAGAGAGATGGAGCTCAACAGACAGCCCATGCTCCAGGGATAAAATGACCGAGGGAATAATCCCCTTCATCCCTCCTGTTAGTTTTATGCTTCTGTCTTTCTAGCGAGGCAAGGAGAGGGGTAAAAGCAAGGAAAATGGGATTCTTGTAATTCTGTTGTGTGGAACAGGATCTTCCATAAAGTTCATCCATTATTTGCAATGGGAGAAGAACCCTGTTGGGAGCATTTTGACAAATCAGAGAATGGTAGCGTGGCCACCATGATCATGTGAATTTCTCCTGATCTGCAAATTTCGAGTCTTTGCTATTTTAAGTTTTTCCCCCTAGAAGCATGGTAGGAAAACAAGAAATTAGAAGTCTCTAGGTCAAATTCAGAGGCAGTACTTCAGTTATATATTTTAACTTACTGATGTGTAAGGAAGCCTAAATCGGTGGAGGCAATGTAATGCAATGCAATGCAAACCTGGAATAAGGTGTAAATTAAAGTTGGGGGCCTATTATAACTTTTTTACTTTTCTAGTTAATTGTCTTAATGGCTCTACTTTTCTCTTCTGGCCCACTGACATATGAGCTAAACCAACTTAGATCACCTCTACGCTCCTCTCTGAATTTGTTCCTCTGCCTAAAACCAGCTTTTAGTAGAGCAGGAAATTTGTGAGTATTTGTATTTTAATTTTCTGGGGAAAATTCAGTTTTTCAACAAAACAAATAAAATGTTTGTTGTTTTTGTTTTGTTTTTTGTGGTCTTTTGAGGAGGGGAAGGTTAGAGGGTGGTAAAAAACCAAAAACATCTTACTAGAAGATGGACATTGTTACTAGGAATTTTTTGTTTCTAGTTTTTCAATTTAAAAAAATGGAAATTTTTGACCAAAATAAATTTTTCTCAGCACTTTTAATTTTGGTCAAAAACCAGTTTTTCATTAAAATATTTAAATAAAAGTTACAGCCAGCTCTAGTTTGGGTTCAGGACGGTGATGTGTGGCTTATTGGGGATTTACTGAAGTTTCCAAATACCTTATGACAATTCTATCCTTGTATCTGAGCTTTGGAATTAGGTAATAAAAATCAATAGGCCATGCTGACAACTTTAATCACTTTGGAAATGTGGAACTGCCAAAATACGTGCAGTTTTTCCCATCTGGGGACACATGGTAGGAAGCTTTATTCTGTCAATTCCTTTTTATAAATACTGTATTTTGAGTTTGGGCTCTATTTTAATCTGTCACGTAAAATTTTAGCAGCAAGACACATAGATCTGTCTTTGGCATAAGCTATGGAAGCAGAAGGGGTGATGTTCTCAGACCTGTTTCTCGTAGATATAAAATAGCCTCTCTCCAGACAGGGGGATTCTGTAAGGTTTCAGAGTAACTGTCCATTTTGGTTTTCTCCTTGCAGCTGTGGTGCACGTTTCATGAGCGATCCCTTGTGAAGGGGGCATGCCAGACGAGCCTTGCTGCACTGAAACTGGATTATCTGGACCTCTACCTTATTCATTTTCCTATGGGATTCAAGGTAGTGAGCCTCCTCTAGTTCTTGTCTCCTCCTCATCCTGAGAGAATCCTTGAGTGCTCAGATGCTAGGCCGTGGCCACCATCTAGTCCGCCAAGGAGGACTAGCCTCCTTCTGGAATTTCTCTTTGCCATGTTTTATTCATCTAAGTGTTGCACTGTATAGAGAAACCGTGAGGCCACTTCTCTGGCAGAAGAGGGGTGAGGAGGAGACATCTCTATAGATGTTGCTTCCACAGCATTCCAAGCCTCCAGTGACTTTGATAGCAACCAACAAGTGCTTCTGTGCAGGTCACCTACATGGAAAAAGCAAGGCTATACTACTGTGCATATGGGTATTTAGTGTCGATTATCTCTTTAGGAGTTCTGGTGGCTGCATGCTATACTTTTCTCTCTCTAAGCAATAGCAGAACTGTGAGTTTACAACGTAGAATGAATATTTTGGGAGTCGGGCATTTCCCATCCAGGCTTCTTCAGCTGAAGGGGCAGTGTTGTGTGGATTCCAGTTTTGGGAGAAAAAACTAGATACATCCATGGAGGATAGGTCCATCAATGGCTATTAGCCAGGAGGGGCAGGGATGGTGTCCCTAGCCTCCGTTTGCCAGAAGCTGGGAATGGGTGACAGGGCATGGATCGCTTGATGATTATTTGTTCTGTTCATTCCCAAGGGGCACTTGGCATTGGCCACTGTCGGAAGACCGGATACTGGGCTAGATGGATCTTTAGAAAGGTCTGACCCAGTATGGCCAATGTTCTTAATTATTGGTCTATTTAGAGTGATTATCAATGGAAGATGAAGCAAGTCACAGAATTAACCATAGTTTTTTGGAATGAATACCAGGGCTGGAATGAAACTTGTTACATAAAGAGTGGAGGACTTCCCTCTCCTCTCTTTAGACTTATTAAGCTAATTACTTGACCAAAGGTTACTATTTCCCCTCTATTAGCTCCAATTTAAGTCACCATATGCAGTATGGCCCTGATTCAGCAAGGTACTTAAATATGCGCATAATTTTAAAGTTTTGCATATGCTTAAGTTCCTTGTTGAATTGGGACCTATGCATCCATTTTGACTTGCTGATAGAATCTGGGTATTCCAGCTCTGAAAGCAGATCTCTTTAAACTTTCTGTCTTGATATGACAGGCTGGTGAGGAGGTGCATCCTGTAGATGACAATGGTATGGTTGTCCCCAGTAACACGGATATTCTGGACACATGGGAGGTAAAAATTCACTCTTCGTTCTTACACACCAGAAGTGGAGCAGAAGGCTGCATGCCTGTAATGGTGGGGGCTGCAATGGTGTTCATATTAGGGTTTGGAGAGATGTATTCGGCTGGGGGCTGCTCACAGGGTCTTTGCATCACTAGGAATTCAAGGTTTCCATATGTTCTTTGTTCAGAGCTATCTACCCTTTATTCCATTTGAGTGGCATGATTCTATGTCTGTTGCAGCTACCCACAGCCTAGGTTACATAGTGGCTCTGAGAGTGCCATTTTCCCCATAAGAGGAAGGCTGAGCATTGTGGAAAAGAACAATGTGATCACCTACCTGTATAGCTTGAGGCTCTGGTCTGTGCTCTTCATGTCTGTGGCCTGTCAGCTCAAAAACGGAGTGATTTATTAACCTCTTTGCTTCTATTAGATGGCATAAAAAGACAGTGTCCTAAAAGGATGAGATTTGGCTCTCATGGGGAAAGGGTGGGCTGGTCTGGATGTGATGGAGGGATGGACTCTGGGGAACAGACATGCTTAACATGAACAGTTAATTCATCGATGCAAAGATTTTTAAGGCCAGACATGACCATTAGATCATCTAGTCCGGGGTGGGCAAACTATGGCCCAGGAGCCGCATCCAGTCCTCCAGATGTTTTAATCCGGCCCTTGAGCTCCCGCCAGGAAGTGGGGTCAGGGGCTTGCCCCACTCTGTGTGCTTCCTGGAAGCAGCGGCGTGTCCCCCTTCCGGCTCCTACATGTAGGGGCAGCCAGGGGGCTCCGCATGCTGACCCCGCCCAAGGGCTACCCTCCCAGCTCCCATTGGCTAGGAACCACGGCCAATGGGAGCTGCAGGGGTGGCACCTGTGGACAGGGCAGCGTACAGAGGCAACGCTCCATGTAGGAGCTGGAGTGGGGACATGCCACGGATTCTGGGAGCTGCTTGAGGTAAGCGCTGCCCAGAGCCTGCACCCGTGACCCCCTCCCATGCCCCAACCCCCTGCCCCAGCCCTAATCCCTCTCCTACCCTCCGAACCCCTTTTGTTCCCAGCCCGGAGCACCCTCCCACACCCCTGAACGCCTCATTTCTGGCCCCACCCCAGAGCCTTCACCCCCAGCTGGAGCCCTCACCCCCTCCCACACCCCAACCCCCAATTTTGTGAGCATTCATTGCCCGCCATATAATTTCCATACCCAGATGTGGCCCTTGGGCCAAAAAGTTTGCCCACCCCAATCTAGTCTCCCCTCCTTATTGATTTATCAGTTACTGTGGTAAAGGAAAAAGGCTAAGCTGGCAGTACTACTAGCTCCTGTACATGACTGGATTACTTTGTCCCCTTAGGCTATGGAAGAGCTGGTGGATGCAGGCCTGGTGAAAGCCATTGGAATCTCCAACTTTAACCACAAACAGATTGAGAGACTCTTAACCAAACCTGGTTTAAAATTCAAGCCTGCCAACAACCAGGTAAGGTATTTATTCCTGCTGGCTTCTGATGAACATGTGTCTAAAGGCTGGGCTACATAGGCTTGAACGGATCTTAAAAAAGGAGTTTGGAATTCAACAAAATACTGAGAACTCAGGAACGTCTGTGGACGTTACCATTCAGTGAGTGGGTATTAAGGTTGACTACCGGGATGCAAGTTAGGATTGCCCATGCTGTGTCTAGACTACCGAGATACACCTCATAACAGCATGTGCAGAATATAGAACCTTTCATAACCCCATGAAATGCTATAAGCAGTTTCACTCCTCCTCCTAGCACCTCAAGGTATCTGAGCCTGACATTGCCAGGGTCTTCATCTCTAGCACCCTCTGGTGGTCACTTTGGCCCTGCAATGGCCTGGTCTGTTTCTGTCCGCATTTTCTGTGGCCCACCCAGTTATCTCTTAAGTTTTGTCCCCTTCCAGGGTAAGGAAAGGACAAACTGAAAATCCAGATAAACGTCTAAACGAATGGTGGTTCTGCCCCTTTTGGGCTATGCTGCAGGTCCCTCCCTTTGCCCTACTTTCAGACTCCACAGCATTCTGTGTTTCTTAAGCTGAGCACTGCCACCCAGGACTTTCCCCCTGCAGGTTCTTCTTTGCAGCAGGTTTCGTCACTGTCTCTTCTCCCAGGGACCTTTCTACTTCAGCCTGCCTTCATCCAGCCCTTCCTACCTACTGGAAGCTCCCTCAGCTGAGTTCCCCTCTGTCTTGTGCAGTACTTGCGAACCCTTTCACTCACTGCTAGGATCAATAGTTGTCATTACGTCACCAGATCAAGATCATCAGGGGGTTAGCTGCTACCTCACAGACCAGACAGAACCCAGCTTCCCCTTAAAGGACCAGCCAGTCCATGACAGATGTCTTAAACATCAAGGAGTTCTGGAACACTGTTACATTTGAGCCTACAAAATATACCCACAGATTTAAGCCCACTAGAGTTGATTTATATTTTGCCTTGACTTGTGCAGTTTTTTTTCATTGTGTCAAAAAAAAAAGTAACCAGAGATTTCTGGCTTTACACTATGGCTGCTGAAAATTCCTTTGGCCTCTGTTCAATGCAGTACACTGGGCAATAGCATTCATGAGCGTTTCAGAGTCTTACGGCTGTGCTTTTAGTTTTAGTGTTATCCTTGTGTGACGTCATGATTCTGCAGTACGATTGGGAAGGGTTCCCATATAATTTTTTTCGGCTTTATTAAATGACTCCTTTGGGTGAATTTTAACTGTAGTGTGGTCTAAACATAGGTGGGAGGGGCTGTATTTGTGGACACAGCATTGTAACCATAAAGTTGTATGACCATTGCAATTGCCAGTTGAACGTGCCAAGTTAGCACCAGCACCTGCAGCATAATATATAAACATGGGAATCCATACTCACATGAACGGTGCCATTGACATCAGTGGGACTACCTGCACGAGGTAAGAGCTGGCAAGAGCAGGCCAAAGGCTTTTCCTTTGTACCTTTGAACATGTGGTGGGGTCTTGCTCAGCCAGTTTCCCGTGACTTCAGAAGGCAGGATAAAGGATTTGATAACTACTCCATTTGGCTCTTTCTTTATGGAGTATAGTACACAGTTTCACTTTTTAAAATATTTGCTTAACACAGATTGCTTCAAAATAGTTTTTTAATAATAATGTTGTCTAGTATTATGTAGCTGGAGTACCCAAGCGTCCCAGTCAGGGTTAGGTTCCCACTGTGCTGGGTGCATTACATAGACCCTGAAAAGACACCGTGCCTACCCTGAAGTGTTTACCATCTAAGAAATACTTAAAACTGAATATAGACCTAGTCAAACCCAGCACCGTATCCAAATGTTTTACCACGCCAAGATGCACTGCTCTGGGTAGAAGCATATCCATGCTTTACAGGCTGCATTATTTGAATGTGTGATCAGTATATGAAAGGAGATTCAAAATTATATTAATGTACATTTTTTAAGACGTTAAAGCAACAAGTTGGTAAATCTCCAAGTTCTGGTTTCTACGATGACAATTACTCTGGTACGTTGCCCATACACAGTACAGTAAAAGCATTACATATATACCTGCCTAGCAAAATTCTACTCACCATGGGAGAGTAACTTTTGTGTGTTGGGCAAGTAGAATATTATCAGGCTTTCCATCATCATCATCATGATAAAAGAAGGAAGAACAATTTTGTGGTTAATTCACTGAATGGCGACTTCGTAGACCCTGATCTGCTACAGACTTCCTGCATGACCGTGGGCAAGTCACCTACCCTTGTTCCCCCATTTTACAGATGGGGTACAAGTACTTTGTATATCTTGTCTGCCCTGAGGCGCTTTGAGTCCAAACAGAGACTGTCACTGTGTTGTACAGAACCTAGCGCTGTGTGGTTCTGATACAGGTTCAGGCCTCTAGATCAGGGGTTCTCAAACTTCATTGCACCATGACCCCCTTCTGACAACAAATTATTACATGATCCCAGGAGGGGGGACCGAAGCCTGAGCCTGCTTGAGTCCCACAGCCAGCCCCAGGTGGGATGGCCAGAGCTTAAACCTGAGCCCTGCTGCCCCAGGCAGGGGGCCAAAGTCCAAGGGCTTCACCCCCAGTTGGGGGCCTATAACCTGAGACCTGCCACCCAGGGCTGAAGCCCTTGGGCTTTGGCTTTGGCTTTGGCCCTGGGCAATGGGGCTTGGGCTTTGGCATCTGGCCTCAGCAAGTCTAACACCAGCCCTGGTGACCCCATTAAAAAGGGGTTGCAACCCACTTTAGGGTCCCGACCTACAGTTTGAGAACTGCTGCTCTAGATGCTGCTGTAGTGCAAATAGTAATCAACAGCAAGGCATGTAGATATTTTGTGTGTGATGTTCTGCAAGACTTCTTTGTACCATAGGTATACGAGTGGCTCCAAAGGTAGTCACAGGGTCTGTATTCTCTGGAGCACAGGAGTGCTAGCAGTGCAGTCTGCCACTGGATGAACCTGTGTGTCCTTGTGCCTGCAGATTGAGTGCCACCCATACCTTACCCAGGAGAAGCTGATTAAATATTGCCAATCCAAAGGGATCTCTGTGACTGCATACAGTCCCCTTGGCTCTCCTGCCAGGCCATGGTAAGAATGCTTGGCAGCCTCTCTTCTTGGAAGCATTTTAGAGTATGTATGTCTCTCTCTCAAATCATTGAAGAAAGTTGAATGTCCAGTGCAGTTACAATTGATACATATTTCTGTCGCTATATTGCAAATACTCCTGTGAAATATATCCTGTTTCATGCAAGGGATGGTAGTCTACCGTTAACCTATTGGCTGTTTTTTTTTTTCTTTTTATAGGGCCAACCCAGGGGACCCTACTCTTCTAGAGGACCCTAAGATTAAAGAGATTGCTGCTAAACACAGCAAAACCTCTGCTCAGGTACGTTGGAGTCACAGCACCGTGCATGTTGCCTCCTTTGTAATACATTGCCTTGTGCCAACATTGCACTCTTTCACAGATACTCTGCGGTCTTTACACAGTGACTCTTTAGAATGTCTTATTTTAAATGTAACTCAGTTTAGAAGGAGAGGGATTGTCAGAACAAACAGTTCAGTCTGGGAACAGGAAGGACCTGGCAAGGAACAGGGAGTGCCTGTCATTAGCACAGATTATTGCTGACCAGCCTTAAAGATGGGCCTTTGGGTGCCCTCCAGAAAGTGCCATGTTGATCATATGAACTTAGCGATGAAAGGGGCTGTGGAAAAAATCAAATGAGGTTCAGCCAAATCACCCTATGAATCCTTGATCCGGCTAAATTATTTTTCATGGATGCCTCAGTGTTTCGCTATTTGACTAAAGCTAGCAGGTGTGTGTTTGTTTTCCAGAATTCAGTGTTTGTGAACAGTTGGGGAAAATTTCTCATGGCTGCTCAGTTTGACCATGTTTCTACTTCTTAGTATTTGCTGTTCACAAACACTCTTACAACTGTGTGGGGGTTTTTGTTTTTGCTCGTAAGAATGTTTGAGAGAATGACTCTTCAGACAGATCTTCATACTCTCACCCAGTCAGCAGCTGTAGGCTCCAATCATAAAGTTGCTTGAAAAAGGGTGAATTTTTTTTCCTCAAAAAACGCTTCCTGAAAAATGCATCCCTTTTTCTGGTGAAGATGTCAAAGCTGGGAGCCTTAGCTGTTCCTCGTTCAGTTCTTAAGACCAGATCTGATCATCTGAATCCCTGTATAACACAGGACATGGGGGTCACGGAGGCAGTCCTGTTTTCCAAAAACTTCTTGCCCGAGCAGGGAGCAGAAACAATGACATTGCAAACAATTCATAGTTGACTTGAGCAGCTTGCAAACACACTACAGGCTGTAATTTGTTTACACAAACCATCTGAGGAATACTTCTGAACAATGAATAGATTTGCAGAAACTGGAATTGGTTTGTAACAAAAAAAAGTGCTACATTTCTAGAAAACTTATTTAGAACAATACCTCCCCACCCCAAACAAACCAAAAAACCCTCCAAAAAACCCTTGACCAGCACTACTAGTGACTGGTAGCTTCAGTGTCATCAGAATTCCTGTTCTTTCCTCTCAGGTTCTGATCCGGTTTCACATCCAGAGGAATGTGGCAGTCATTCCTAAGTCTGACAAACCACACCATATTGAGGAGAACTTTAAGGTAAGGTTTCAAATAAGACTATTGCTACACCTATCCATTACAGTATCAAGATGGGGTGCCATCTTCCTAATTTTCTCATTTATCCCAAATTACATTTGATGGGAGCAAGAGAAGGGGCAGCGAGGTAGAAAGATCCTTCTGTATTTCAGCATTCAGTACTGCATTTTTAGTTGTGCATTCATATTTTGTGTGAAAATTCAAGTGGACTTGCATTTTTGTTAAATTTAAAACCAGGAGCGAAGTGAGTTAAACTGTCACATCTTATTTGTCATACCACATTTCCAAGTCTCTTAATTTTAAGCTTTAATTCTACTCCTACACAGCTAGAGTTAAACTTAATTTAATACCTACTTCTTATATTGGGCTTTTCAGCAGTAGATCTCAAAATGCTTTGCAACAGTGGTCAGACTCATTATCCACCTCTTTATAGATGGGGAAACATGGGGCAAGTTACTTCACCACCCTCAGTCCCCCAGCAGGTCAGTGGCAGAGCTAGGAATAAATCTGTGCTCTACCCACTGGGATGCATTACCTTTATGTAATTTAACATGAGTAGACTTAAATACATAAGGACACGTGTGACAAGAATAGGCCTATTTAGTTTAGAGAGGAGAGGACTTGAAAAGGGCTGTTATGGCACTACGACGGTTGATATAATAAAGGTCAGTTGGAGCGAGCATCTAATACAAAAAGAAAAGGAGTCCTTGTGGCACCTTAGAGACTAACCCATTTATTTGAGCATGAGCTTTCGTGAGCTACAGCTCACTTCATCGGATGCATTCAGAGAAATCTCCCCACTGTATTTTCCACTGAATGCATCCGATGAAGTGAGCTGTAGCTCACGAAAGCTTATGCTCAAATAAATGTTAGTCTCTAAGGTGCCACAAGTCGTCCTGTTCTTTTTGCAGATACAGACTAACACGGCTGCTACTCTGAAACCTGTCATCTAATACAACAATGCGACAGGCAAAACTTATACAATGCATAATTTAACCCTGGAATGCAGTGCCACAACACATCCCTGACACCGAAACCTTAGTAGGTTCAAGCATTTCTGGCTGCCTAAAACATCAGCAGTTGTACAGGACAGGCTAAAAATGCATTAGCACTATAATCACTTATGCTTCAGGGTATAATGCTACCAATAATTGATGGGAGTTAGAAAGAAGTCTCCTAGGGGAAGGTTATTCCCCAATTTTCCACCATCTGCTTCCTTGCACCTTCCTTGCTAGAAGCATCTAGCACTGATCACTGTTGGGGGGACTGCTATCCTGAAACAGGTATGGCTATTTCAGTGTTTATATTTATAAAAAGGGAGGGGAAATCCCAGCAAATCTCAGCCAGGGGTGGGTCTGATCATTTCCTCAAAGAGGAAAACTGCATAACTTTGCTAAGGTGCCACAGTCTGGCTGAAAGCCTCTTTCTCCCAGTGGAGAGAAGTTACTCACCTGAGGGCTGCCCTTGAAGTCAGTGGGACAATAAGTGAGTAAGTGCCACACAAGTCATCCTTCTTGGACTAGAACTGCTCACCCAGCAGTCCACTGACTTCATTGGAAATACTCATGAGAGTAAAGAGGTACTCTGGCCTTAGAATCTGAGGTGTCTCTTTCCATTGCACGTTGCAGAAGTCATGGGACGACTTTAGTTGGGTGCTGGGTCAAACTTCTGGAAGCCTGATGTCGTACGAGCAGTTACAGATGAAAGGACTGTTTGTGTGTGTGTCGTGTCCTAGTGCTAAGTATTCCATTCTACCTGAAGTGAGGGTAGCTGGTGTAATTATGCTTCAGTGGAATTTTTGGTCACCCAATCTGGTACAATTCACCGCTGCTCTAAGTCATAGCTGCCTTATCTTTACATTAGGTGCACTTAATTTCCAGCTGCTTACAGACCTAACTTAAAACACTTTCCTTTCAGGTGTTTGACTTTGAATTGACTAATGAGGAGATGGAAACCATCCTCAGCTTTAACAGGAATTGGAGGGCTGTTGAAATGCTAACGTAGGTTGCTTTTCTTCTGAATCCTACAGAATGCCCAGAATCCCACTCATTGCTTACTATTGCTTTTAAAGGCAAGGCAGGATCTCTTTGAGAAAGGGAAAGCACGCAGGACCCCAGATTTTAAATCATGGGCTTTGGGTAATTAGACATACCTTAGACTCTATCTATACTACAAAAATTACGTCAGTATAGTTTACGTCAGCATACAGCCACTGTAGTTATTAAATTGCTTGTGTATGCACACACTTGACTTTGTCAGCACTGCACATCCTCACTAGCAGCGCTTGTATTGTATTGTCAGTGTGGGGCATGGCTCTTGAAAACCTGTAACAGTCAACAAAGGCGATGCGGTGTCTACGCTGATGCTGCATTGACCTAATTACATTGACCATATGCATGTATGCTGCTTGGGGAGGTGGTGGTGGTAAATTGGCAGAGAGAGGCACTTACGTCAGCGGTAGCCAAATTTAAGTGAAGGCACTTCCACAGCTAGGTTGAGACAAGGCATCTTACATTGACCTAACCCAGTAGTGTAGACCAGGCCTTAGAATGACTGATGTCAAGAGGAAGATAATCCCTACATAGTCATTTCTTTAGCAGGTACTATCCCCTCTATTTTGTCCGTATGTTCCAAATACCTACATTAAATGACTGCTTCGGCAAGCGGTGTTCCTCTGACTAAAGTGGAAGTGGTATGGAAGGAGTGGCCAGGAGGTTCAGAATGCTTTTAATGCCTACAGTAGGGACCTGCTTGGCAAACATCTACCTATGCACTATTCAATACCCTGCCTGTCTTCCTGACAGAAGGACATGTGTAGTTACTTTGAATACTTGGTAACACCCACTTTTTTTTTTTAGGGCTGTCAATCACAAGGAATATCCATTCAAAGAAGATTATTAAAGCTGGTGTTTCCTTGGCATCTCTGGCTATTAGAGTTGGAGCCTCTTCTGCTCTGACTTGTTCTTCTATATTGATTGTGTCCTTCAACTATTGTCTGCCCTTTTACCACCAGACATGTGGGTTGAAGGAAGAAGAAATGTATATAAAAGCTAAAGAACAAATATTTAACACCTTTAGAGGGGTTACCTTTTTATCAACGGGTTGGAGGTACTGCTTTTTGCAAGACTACCGAAAAAAAGTTAACTTTAATTCCTCTTTTGTTTACTTTGTATATTAAACTCCACTTCCCATCTAGTCACTTGAGGAGGAGTTCAAGGTAGGTTAATACAATGTCAGTACCCTAAGAGATGCTGTATTAACTATGGAACTCTTTATACAGTTGCTTGTATGCCACTTGTCTGATTGTTCCAGCTGGATAACTATCCTGTGCCTAATGTATTGAAGACATTAAACAATTCAGAGTACAATTATTTGAAGGAGTGTATTCACTTTACTAAATGGTGCACCAGTAGGCTAGTGCAGTGGTTCTCAAACTTCATTGCACTGCGATGCCCTTCTACTTCATCATTCTACTTCATGATGCCAGGATGGGGGGAACCGAAGCCTGAGCCTACCCAAGCCCCACCACTCAAGGAAGGGGGCTAAAGCTGAAGCTCAAGGGCTTCAGCCCCAGGCAGGTAGCCTGTAACCTCAGTCCTGCCACCCAGGGCTGAAGCTCTCAGGCTTTGACTTCAGCCCTGGGTAGTGGGGCTTGGACTTCAGGCCTAGGCCCAAGCACATCTAAGCCATCCCTGGTGACCCCATTCAAGGGGGGTTGTGACCTACTTTGAGGTCCTCACCCACAGTTTGAGAACTGCTGGGCTGGTGTAAGTGGCTCTAGGACTAAATGACAAACTTGCTCCCTGTATAACTGAGCATAAAGGGGGAAGAAAGAAATCTATCTTGGGTGTGACTGGAATTGTAGGAGCTTTGGGCTTAGTGGGGTGTGCACAGGAGATGGTCAGTGCTGGAAGTCTTAGACACAAAGCTAGATGTCATCATGCTCATTGATCACAGAAGTACTTTTTAGACAAGCCCTGGGTCTCTAAAATGTAAACCTTTAGGTACATGTGGACAAAGCACATTTTAAAACATTGGTGTAGAATGCAGCCCCCCTAAACTTAATTTTTTTTTCAAAATACTTAATGTATAACTAGATCACAGGTGACCTAAAACAAGTAGAGTCCATAAAGTAGAAAATAATTTGAGGACTAAAGGAAGAATGGTTACAATGCTTTGTGTGGCATTAGGTAGAGACAGACAACACCTGTTTTCAGATATTTTTACAGATTAGGGTTTTAAAAAAACACACCCGATGGAGATATTTGGGTGCTGTTAAAGCAAGTCATTTTACATTTACTTGCCTATTGTCTTTAGCTAACTATTTGAATAGGAGGTGCTAGCTGCTGTAAAATGAAGCTTAGCAAGAGCCATTGTAACCTACACCCTCCTGGGTGTGGTGTTCTGTCCTATCTAGTGGCACAGAGGTTGAGTCTACTCTGCAGCATTAGCTAACAGCCAGCTGGCTTTTGGCTTATGCACTAAGCTCCAGAGGCCCCAGGTTTGATCCTGCCTGCTGACTACCAGGGTCTGTTGCTGTTAAACCATCACTTCCAAGCACTATTACACACGTTAAGTAAAAATGTTAAAGGTTGCTTGTGCAACCTTAATTCTGCCCCCTGTGTGCCCTGACTGAAGCAATGGGTCCTCTAGAAGTGTAGGTGATATAGCTAACTTACATACTTGACTTTACAACGATTTAAAGGTAGATGAGAAATTGCCTAGATTTTTGTTACAGTTGCACAGAGGGGGGAAAAAACCCTTGCCCTGCCCTACCCTCACCAAGTCAGGTTTTGAACTCTACCTTCCACATGAATAAGTACAAAGTTATCTTGAGTGTCGAGAATTATGGGTCTAGGGCAAGTCTATATTTCCCTCCAATAGTCATCCAGCTTTAGGTTCATGTGTATAACTAGTCACTATTTAAAACAGTGCCCCTAATATAGTCTCATCTTCCAACAGTACACTAACATGGTGGTGTGCACCTAGTCCCTTTCCAACTATGGGCCACATGTGACCCAGTACCCCATATTGCAAGAGACAGGTTCTGCTACTACAAGCTCTCCTTGCACTACCCTAACTGATCAAAATTGGTTCCCAGCTCACTGCATTCCGCATGGAAAACTTTTCTATACATGACACCACCCTTCTATTACATAAATCTCCAGAATAAGCAGCACCACCAGTTAAAATACTGTGTCATTTTCATCCTGAAGGACAAGAGTGCTTTTCAATCTGCCTGGGCTCCCTTATATTCAGCCATTGATAGTTATCTCACATACATTAGCTTTAGCTTCTTTTTGGAGGAATGGAGGTGGACTGCCTCATAAAAGACTAATTAGCCTCTAGGTGGGGTTAATTTAATCTGACTAGTGCACTCCCGCTCCATAAAGGAGCATACACAGTTTGAATGACCATGAAGAAGAAACTTATTACTTTACAGCTGAGATGTTCTGGTTACAGTGTTAGGGCATTTTTTCCCAGTGACTCACAAGACAGAGTGCCTGCAATATAATCTTCCTGTAGCTCTAAGTTCCCCCTAGAGTAGGAGACCTCATTCTTTTGAGGCTGCTTAGAATTTGGAGTTTGTGCTGTGAGAGCACCTTCAGGTCAGAGGAAAAAATTCTGCAGCTTATTGATTCTTCATCTACTGTATCAAGGGCCCATTAGGATCATCTACATTGTGTAGAGAGTTGTCACTTTGGATGGGCTATCACCAGCAGGAGAGTGAATTTGTGTGGGGGGGTGGAGGGTGAGAGAACCTGGATTTGTGCTGGAAATGGCCCAACTTGATGATCACTTTAGATAAGCTATTACCAGCAGGACAGTGGGGTGGGAGGAGGTATTGTTTCATATTCTCTGTGTGTATATAAAGTCTACTGCAGTTTCCACGGTATGCATCCGATGAAGTAGCTGTAGCTCACGAAAGCTCATGCTCAAATAAATTGGTTAGTCTCTAAGGTGCCACAAGTACTCCTTTTCTTTTTATGGATACAGATATGATCCTAATTTTTGAAGCAGGAACAACTCAAGTTTCATAAGCAAAATGCTTTTCAAAGCAAGATAGCAAGGGCCTGCACAACTAAATCAATACTTCCTTATGGAAGTGGAGTAGAACATAGCTACTTGTATCATAAGTTTTCCATTTCAGGTCTTTTTCCTATGAGATTCATTCAACAATATACAAACTGAAACCACTGAACTTTTACATCACAGGTTTAGAAGACTGTCAGTCTACTATATATGTACACACCTGATACATTTGTGAGCTTCACCATGCTGCATTTTTGCCATGTATTAGCGTTATGCCAAAAAAAACCCATCCCACTTACAAATGATGCATTCTAAATCATTACACAAACGGACTGTTGATGGAAATATTCCATTTATTATTGGTGCAGTTTCAGAGTATATTGTTTGAACAAGTCATTTTTATTGCAGCTATCAAATGTATTTGAAAGATTGAGAAAAGTGTTTACAAAAAACCCAGACCAAAAAAAGACAATTCAGAAACAATGCTGGGCATTGTTTGCACAGTTTTGCCCCCTACAGATAGCTAAGTGCATCTCAATATGTAAACAAGATGTTTCAGCTAAGCAGGGGAGCTCATCTTTGCATTGAAATATTCTGTTCTCCCCTCTAATTAAAAAAAGAAGTCCACTGCTACAAAAACATGCTACCAAAAAAAGTAGTGATGAAGGAGGAGTTCTCTGTAGTTCCAATGCATAAAGCTGTTAAGCATTTTAGGGCTACTTCATTAACTAGTTTATTCCACCCATATACTGTTGGATGTACTTGCTAAACCTTATGGCATGTAAATTCAAACCAAGCTGACTTATAGCTTTGTGTTTACTATATACAAATCAAACAATCATCTGTAAATAAGAGCTTTGGGAAATACTTAAACACCATAATTAGGAGGCTTACTTCACTTTGAGTGGTTAGGTGGACTTAATATACGGCACTGATGAATGGCAAGATTTAGTGTACAGTCATTTAAACTCCAACTGTGTTACATTTTTAATTATGGTAGTTTTACATAAATTAAACTACGATGTTTTATACAAGTGACCTACTTTTGATCCTCTATACCCTTATTTTCCCCTCTTTAAAACTATAGTTTTCTTTTTAATTACCCATTACTGGGCATCTTACATTTTAAAAAAATTTAATACTTATCTTGCCATACCTCTAATGGCAAAATTATGAAATCTTACTATAGAAAAGTATGACTTTTTTAAAAGCTGTGATACCGGCTAATTATGTGCATTCATTACTAAATATAATACTCTAGCATGTATTAAAGCATTCTACCATTAGTAGTGCCTTAAAGCTAAACTTTGTAAAGCTGTGTGTATATATTGCAATCCATTACTAATCACTAACAAAAATAGAGCATCAGTACCGCTGTCAGCTAACAATCATCCAAATTTAGATATTAACTTAAACTAGAATGAAAAAATGGATACTTAAAACAAAAATTTAAACAAGTTATTGATGCAGTATTTATGACATGGGCAACTTACAGAAAATATTACATTGTCAACTAAAGATTTCTTCCATGCCTTAGTCTAAAGTGCAGAAAAAGACTTCTGTATTCCAAAAGTAACCACTGTTTTTATGGGTTTACTGCACACTTTTCTTAAGTAATTCAACTTTGCATGCATTCGGGGGTTGACCTCTTACGCCAGTTGAAATCACTGTTCAGACACATAGTCGTGACTATCAGTAGGAGAGTATTTCACAGCATGGGTTTCTTTAGGAATAAAGGCTCTTGTGCAAAGGCAGTACTATTATGATGAATGTCTAGACTGATTATTAAATACAGTGCTAATATACATGGTTTTAACTGGGATAATGCAAAAAAAGACATTTTGGTAAATAAACATAAATATAAAAAGGACAATTTAGCACTTCCAAAATGAGTTGGTTCAGCATCTTTAGTAGCCTCCTATGGTTCTTTCTCAAATTGTCTCAAACCTGCTGAAAGAGAGAATGATTAAAGATTGCTTGAAATCAGATGTTTCTCTAGCAATATAGGAGGTGGCTGTTCTGAATTAACTTGCCTCAAACCCCTTCACCTCAGAGCACCTGCTAAGGGGCAAGACAACAACACACACCTACTACTAGGCTGTGTGGCCAGCTAGCCCACAGGTGCTCCGTGGCTCCAAGGGTGGATGGGTAGGATCTCACACAGATACTTGCTCACATCTGGCGGGGGGCAGCAGCAGCCGCCGCGGCCTCTGGAGCAGGTACAGGAGCATAGTGACCCTTTCAAGGAGTATTACACAGCACGTTCCCCACGCATCGTTTGTCTGCGGCTCCTGTTCCTAGACAGATTGCCTCAGCACTTCTGCTCAACCACTGT